AAAGAGACGTGTGTGTGTGTGTGTGCGTGTGTGTGTCTGTGTTTGCGTGTGTACTAAATATTCTCACCTGTTTTTGGACATTTGTTCTTTTTTGGGGAAAAGTACAAACCCAGCCAGAGCTGATAATAATAATAATAATAATAATAATAATAATAATAATAATAATAATAATAATAATAACCCACTCAGAGCTCCTACAGCGCTCCGCCTGTTCCGGGTTGACGCCCCGTTTCCGGTCCGTTCCCGGACCGTTTCCGGTCAATTTCCGGTCTGTCCCAGTCCGCCATGGCTCCGAGCCCGTGCCTTGTCCTCGCGCTACTGCTGTGCGCGGCCCTGCCCGCGCGCGTGTCCGGCGGGGAGCGGGACTGCCTCCCCTACACGGACTTCAACAACGAGTACCAGTTCTCGCAGACCTGCGTTTACGGCTTTTGCTGCGGCCGCTGCCGCTACCGCTACTGCTGCGACGACCCCTTCAAGCGCCTGCGCGAGGAGGACCAGGAGCACTGCGCGCGCTAGGCGGACGCGCGTGGCTCCTCTGGTCACGGGGGTTGTGGTGGTGGGCGTCCTGTTGCTGGTGGTCCTGGTCAGTTGCTGCGTGTGTCCCTACTGCTGCGTCTACAAGAGGTGCCGCAGGCCGAGGTCCGCGCATGCGCATGGAGACCCTCCAGGATCCGCGTCCACGGCCCATTACCAGCCGGTGCCCGTCCAGCCCGGGCCTTACCCCCCCGGACAAAGCTCCATCATCCACAAACATTAATGACTCACAATCTCATTTTATTACATAAAAACACATCATTAATCATAACAGAAAACCATTTTATAATCAAATAATCAATAATAAACAATAATAAAAATGTTTACGTTTCATACCTTTGTTTTATAAAGCAGATGTGCTGACGGTCTCTGACCAGCAGGGGGCAGCAGAACCTCTGTTTCCTGCTTCCGGTATTCCGAAGAAGAACGATGACGTCAGCGGAAATGTGTGTTATGTTTCGCTGGAAGTCAGAAACAAAAATAAAGATCATTATTATTATTAATAATAATAATAACAATAATAATAATAACCCAGTCAGAGCTCCGACAGCTGTTGTTTCTGGAGCTTCTCTGTGTCTCGCTCCGCCTGTTCCGGGTTGACGCCCCGTTTCCGGTCCGTTCCCATTCCGTTTCCGGTCCATTTCCGGTCTCTCCCAGTCCGCCATGGCTCCGAGCCCGTGCCTTGTTCTCGCGCTACTGCTGTGCGCGGCCCTGCCCGCGCGCGTGTCCGGCGGGGAGCGGGACTGCCTCCCCTACACGGACTTCAACAACGACTACCAGTTCTCGCAGACCTGCGTTTACGGCTTTTGCTGCGGCCGCTGCCGCTACCGCTACTGCTGCGACGACCCCTTCAAGCGCCTGCGCGAGGAGGACCAGGAGGACTGCGCGCGCGAGCCCGAGGTGCGCAGCGTCCCCGCGGCGCCTCTGGTCGCGGGGGTCGTGGTGGTCGTCCTGGTGCTGGTGGTCCTGGTCAGTTGCTGCGTGTGTCCGTGCTGCTGCATCTACAAAAGGTGCCGCAAGCCGAGGCCCGCGGAGCCCACGGCCGCTGCTGCGCATGCGCACGGAGACCCTCCAGGATCCGCGTCCACGGCCCACTACCAGCCGGTGCACGCCCAGCCCGGGTACGGAGCTCAGCCCCAGCCCGGGTACGGAGCCCAGCCCGGGCCTTACCCCCCCGGACAGCCCGGGTCCGGGCCCGGGTACCCCCTCCAGCCCGGGTCCGGGGGGGCCCAGCCCGGGTACGGACAGCCCGGGTACCCCCCCGGACAGCCCGGGTCCGGGTACCCCCTCCAGCCCGGGTACGGGGGGTCCCAGCCCGGGTCCGGACAGCCCGGGTACCCCCTCCAGCCCCTGGGACAACCACAGCCCTCCGGAGCTCCACCGGCCCAGATGGACTTCCTCTCCCAGCCGGCGTACAACCCGGAGTACTCCACTACCGGATAAAGATCCCAAATATCTATCTATCTATCTATCTATCTATCTATCTATCTATCTATTTACCTCTCTCTCTATCTATCTGGACAGAGGTGTCTGGACTTTTTCTCTTGGATTGGACTCTAAACCCCCCCCCTCGGCCTGTGCTGCCTAACCCCAGACTGTGGACAAATGCCTTGTTTCGCTGCCTCGGTTGGATTTTGTTGTTGAAAAAGGGTTTGTTTTCTCTTTCTGTTTCTTCCTCTGAGTTGCTAAAGGTGTTTAACACTTCCTGTAATCGCACTGAGGACGGAGTCGGGCGTTTGTGCTGGCTGTGAGCCATCCTGTTTATGTTTGTTTTTGTTTTTTTAATGACGTGCTGTTGCCATGGTAACGGAGGATGTGCAGGGGGGTCTTCATCCTCCAGTAAAAGGGAAAAGCAGCAGAAATGGGCTGATTTAACTATTTAACGTTTGTGTTCATCCAGATTTAACTTGGAGTGGACTCTCCTCATAGGATGGTTTGTTTTTTGTTGTTGTTTTTCATTTGTTATTTAAAAAAAAGCACTTACGGATTCACATGAATAAACCAAAGGAGGACTTTCCTCTTCAGTCAGAACAGGAATCTGGAAACAGCCGTGCCTTCCCAGCCTGAGTGGCCTTAATCAGGGTTCATCTTTTTCACAGAACTGTTACACTTCTCTCTGGATGAGTCTCCAGTACAGATAATGATTTCATCATTTACGGCAGCACTTTAATGGGTCATTTACTTTATTTGTGTGTCTGGATGTGAGTCCTGTTTTCGCGGGTTCTGTAATAACTCAAAGCATCCCCTTTTTTTGTTTTTTTTATATGTGACTTTTTTTTTTCTTGGGGTTGTTGAGAAATACAGCGTGACATTTGTATCTTTATTTTTTTGTTTTGTAACCCGGTTGGACGTTCTCGGCCTTTCGCTCATTTTCTATGTTTAATCACGTCTGACTCGCCTTATTTAGGGAAACGGGTCTCCTGTCTCTGAGATTTCAGTGTTTAAAAGTGACTTTGAAGCAGACGTGTTTTTAGTCTTTTTTGTGAAGATTGTTTTAAACTTTTTCAATGTCACTCAAAAGGTGTTTTTAAGAACTTGCTCTTTTTTCATCTGTTTCAACCAGTGATATTTTGGCATTGATGAAGATGTGCATTAAATGTTATCTTCATAAAAATAAAAAATAAATTAAATAAAGAAAAGTATAAATGGTTTATACATCAAGTTTTCTATTTGTCACTTGTTTATCTAATTCTTTATATATTCCAATCTATTTGAATTATTTATTTTCAATGCATTTAATTAATTAATCTTGATATTTCCCCTTTAACTGAATTTTAAACTCATCACAAAGTTGCAGTTTTTTTCTCATAATAAACTTAAGATTTCGTGTTTTTTTTTTACAAAACTCCATCATCCACAAACATTAATGACTCACAATCTCATTTTATTAAATAAAAACACATCATTAATCATAACAGAAAACCATATTATAATCAAATAATCAATAATAAACAATAATCTAAATGTTTATGTTTCATACCTTTGTTGTATAAAGCAGATGTGCTGACGGTCTTTGACCAGCAGGGGGCAGCAGAACCTCAGTTTCCTGCTTCCGGTATTCCGAAGAAGAACGATGACGTCAGCGGAAATATGTGTTGTTGTTTTGCGCTGGAAATCAGACACAAAAATAAAGACCAGAAGCCATCATTCAGATTATAAAAGATAACCATACTTTTATTTATATTTGTATGAATCAAATACAAATATTTAACGTATAAAAATATAATTACATGTGACCAAAGTGTTCTAAAAACAAAAAAAAACAAATCGGTTTTCCTGGTGAGTAGTGAAAATGAAAGTTGGTCAAATTTTCATGTAATGAAATAAAAAGACGTAAAATGAGCAAAGTCTGACACTAATTATTCAGAATAAAGGTTAAATCCAGGCTGGGTTGAGCCACTGAGCAGTGGGATGGATTCTGGATGTGGAGGAGGACCAGCTCTCAGCGGTTTGATTCAGAGTTCTGCATCCAGCTGCTGTGTAGCTGGAGTCTGAGGCAACTTTACAGAAATAAAATAATTTGTTATGCAAATTTTTTTGTAATTATATCCCAATGTTCACTGTTTGCTACTGTAGAGGGAAAACAAGGATCTAAAACTGGAACATCACTGCATACCTAAAAACGGCAATAAATACTAAAAGCTGAGAAAATTCATCTGTCTCACCTGCTGCTGGTCTCCTTTGCTTCCTCTCTTTCTGCTTAACCTGAAAACATCTGCATTTGTTGGAAGCTTATGTTAAAATTGGAAAAATAACATATGTCAACAAGTGTTTAAGAAAAGTGTTAAAAACACAAATCTACCTCCCAGAGGATCTTTCAATTCTTCGTCTGTTGTTTCTTTGTTACCTAAAAAACAAAAAACAAAAAAGTACAGACAGCCACGATATTCCAAAGATTTATTATTAAGTAAAACTCTGGTCATTATTCTCACCTCGTTTTTTAGAGATCTTCTTTTGGCGGTAAAGTACAAACACAGCCAGAGCTGCTGATAATAAAAATAAAGAAACAAACACAGCTCCAACAAT